TGGGTTTGGTTTTATTTTTTTTTGGAGGGGGGGTAGTACTAGACATACATGCTGAAGTATTTAGTGTGCCGATGTTGCAATTTACCTTGAGATGTATCAAAAAATAAAACAGATTAATTAATTAAAAAAGGGATGGATTAATGGAATAGACATATGATAAAGCAAGTATAGTAAAATGTTAATAGTAAAAAGTAGATGGTATATATACAGGTGTACATTGCAGAAGTCCTTAAACTTTGCAATATTTTTTGAAAACTTCCATATTAAAATGTTGGGGGAAAACAACCATAGCAACTGGCATGTTTTCTCAAAGTTCAATCTCTAACTTGCAATTTGTCTTTTTTGGAAAAGCATAAATACTATAGGAGTCCCTGGGTGGCACAAACGGTTAAGCACTCAACTACTAGCTCAAAGATTGGCGGTTTGAACCCACTCAGAGGCACCTCAGAAGACAGGCCTGGCGATCTGCTTCCAAAAGGTCACAGCCTTGAAAACTCTATGGAGCAGTTCTACTCTGCACACATGGAGTCACCATGAGTCAGCGTTGACTTGACAGCAACTAACAACAACATAAACGCTATACCTTGATTTTGATAAAGTTCTATTTAAGCCAAAGCTCATGTAGAAAATTATACCAGAATAATTTCAACCAAAAAGGTCTCCTGTCACAAGAACTTAATTTTGTAGGCTCCAAAATCCCATCATGAGGGAATAAAAGCAACTCCAAAATTTTTACATTTCCTCAAACTGAGCAATTCTATTTCATGAAGTGGGACATCAAATAAGATGATCCAGTTTGAAAGCTCATAAAAACAAGGCCTCTGAAACTGACCTATGACATCTCACAGAAAGACTCCTTTTTCATGAAAGTCTCATCTATATGCTGGTGAATCTCACTCTTACTCCAGAAAAAAGGGCATCAGAGCCAACAAGCCATTAAACCCACTGCCATCAAGTCAATTCCAACTAATAACGACCTTATAGGACAGAGTAGAACTGCCCCACAAGGTCTCCAAGGCTATAATCTTTATGGAAGCAGACTGTCACATCTTTCTCCCATACAGAACCTGGCAGGTTCAAACTGTGGACCTTTTGGTTAGCAGCCGAGTGCTTAACCACTGCGCCACCAGGGCTCCTTTCATGAGCCATTCATTAAGAGATGCAAATCAAAACCACAGTGAGATACCGCCTCACCCATTAGAATGGCAATGATCAAAACAACTGAATACAACAGGTGTTCGAGAGGTTGTGCAGAAACGAACCCCCATCCTATTGCTAGTGAAAATGTAAAATGGTACAGCCACTGTAGAGAACAGTTTGGTAGTTCCTCAAAAAGCTGATCATAGAACTACTATATGACCCAGCAATCCCAATCATAGGTATATACCCAGAAGTGGTGAAGGCAAGAACGCAAACAGAAACCTGTACACCAATGTTCACTGCAGCACTTTTCACAATACTATAGCCAAAAGGTGGAAACAACCAAAATGTCCATCATCAGATGAACAGATAAACAAAATATAGTATACACACACAATGGAATACTACTCAGCCATAAAGAGAAATGAAGTCCTGCTGCGTGCCACTACATAGACGAAAAAACACAGTAATACCAGATCATGTCACTGGTTTGAACTTCAGAATTGGGGGGAAACGGTTCCATGAGTCATATTCATCTCTAAACTTAAAATAATATGCATATAAATGGAATTTCTGGTTAAATCCTAAAAGAAAGCAATTTACTCTGAGAAAACTGTATTTATGGTAACAATTCTAAATACTTAAAGAGTTCCACTTTAAGTCTACTGGGAAACACTAAGCATTTTTCACAATAAAATATATTCTATACCCTTTCCTAGATACCAAATCAGTTTTTTCCCCTCTAAATTAATTTATAAAGGCATTTCCTTCCCCATCTTCCAAGTTGTAATGACTGAAACATAGTATATAACATTTCCACTGTACTTGATCAAGCTCAAAGGTCAACCTAAAGAAGTGAAATAACAATGTTACAGGACTAAGAACTGGAAACTGTTCATGACCAGAAGTTTGAAAATTAAGTAACAATGATAAATATTTTTAATATTCTTGTGAACTTTCTATTCTAGATCTTTTTTTAGACAAGAAAGAAAAATGTAAACACCTGTGCTATGATTTCATACTAGTCACAAAAATTAAGATTTCATTCCCACTTAACTAAATTTGTTATTTGCAAATATGGCAGATGAGGGCGGTCTTTGGAAAACAATTCTATAACAGAGGGTTTTGAAATCAAATACCCTTTGCTTAATTCTTAACCTAAGGTGAGATCAACATATTTACACAACTACTGTAAAGAAACTTTAAAGGTTTTCGTTATAAATTATTAACTTTAGTTTAACCTGGACACAAAACTAATTCTCCATTAAAAGTGGTTTAACAGGTAGGTCTTCGCCAGATAGGATTAGGAAAAACTGTTATTTCTGATTGCTTTTCAATTACAATCATTAATAGCAAAAGAATTATTGTTTTCATATACAAAGAAACAAAGCAGTATTTTGGATTTGACTTAGAGATAGGGAGAAACACTGAATTAAGCACTAATCAGGCTGCTGCGGATTTTTTTTTCTGCTGTATAGTAACACTGTGAGTAAACAGAGATGAGAATCCCAACAAAACGAGAAGTATGACTCTGCTGAAAGTAAATTTTGTGACAGGCTGGGGCAATCTGGTAAAAGTCAAAATCGTTAATGCTGTGATAGGATGTTTGGTATTTGTCTCAAAATAATCCAGTTTGGGGGAGGGGTACAATATGAAACAAAGCTGACCTTGGCTATGAGTTAATAATTGTCAAAGCTGAGTGACCAACGCATAGAGGTTCTCTACAGTATACTATTCAACGTCTGTATGTTTTCCATAATACAAAGTTTAAAAAACAAAACCAAAAAACTTTAGGTTATTTACTGCAATATTAAAAAGCCATTTCCCTAGCACTACAATTTGCAATATGGGAGTAGACTACATGCTTTGTGTTGTTTAAGTTGTCTGCCCAGGTGTTTCTAAAGAGCCATCTAAATCAAGATTTTAAACTAGAAACTACGGTAAGACCTTGTGTCAGAAAATTCTAGGAAAATGTCAAGAACAGGGAGGCCACTTTGTATCACGTGTGTTATTGAGAGATGGGTGTAAATCAAAATACTTTAAATTCACTAAGGAAATATACTGCCTAAAACAACCCCGTTGTACAGCAAGATCATTCAGCACAAACACACTCCTTACTCTTTTGTAAATTTGAACTTCCATGAGTTGCATTACCTTACTGAAGTGTATACCTACACAACTAAGTACGTAATTAAAAGACACTCAGCATGCTTCCATAAAGTTGCTGTTCTGAAAATCCCACCTGTCACCAGGATCACTGAAACGGCTCCCTCTACAATCCAACTGTATTTCTAGTTTTTACTTCAACAAGTAGCAATGTCATTTACATTTGGTAAGCACTCTTGATTCCTGGAAAACCCAAATCATCCGAAAACCTGGTGTAACTCCCTCTTTCCCCCACCTCCTAAACAATTAAAGCTAAAGGCAGAAGGGAAGAGTGACCTTAAAAACGTCCCCACAGCCAGAGATCAGTAGAACAGACTGAAGCACACATCTTCGCTGGAACAGAACACTTCCACACAAGCAATACTGAAACACGGAGGTGGGACAAGGGCTTAAAATGAAAGTCGGACAACGGGGACGGAGGGAATAAAAGCAAAGCTGCAGTGAAAAAAAGTTAGAAGTTAGAGACCTAGAGCAAGAAAGGGCAGACATACTTGTTCGTATTTGTATACGACCTCCCCCTTCCAGAACGTGACACACAGCAGGTGCTACAGAAAGGTCTACCGAACTCCAGGGTAGCTTCTACCAGCAACTTTCCCAGAAATGGAATGACAAGAAGCCCAATGATGGCAGAAAAAGCGGACAGGCTGCTCACACTGGTGAGAATCCTGCAGCTGGCTACACGGAAGAGATGGAAATAACAGCATCTATCTTTACAGACTACCTACTGCAGTGTCCCAATTAAACGTAAGCCCCCCTTTGGGTTAACAACCCAAAACAATGTTCTGTCGCTGGAAGCAGGCACGCTGAACACTTCTGCTTCTAAGGATCCAAACACGAGTAGGTAGGTCAACTTCTGTCCCCTCTATCCATTAAATTATACCTTACTATCGCGCTAATAAATTATGCTGACGGTTTATTGGGACACTCTGATAAGTGCTTTACACGCCCCATTTCACTGAATCTTACGGGGCAGGGGCGGTATTAGCCCCTTTTGCCAGTGAAGACACAAAGAGTTTAAGTGACTTGCCTAAGGGGGCAGAGCCGGGATTTGTACCCGTGTCCGACACCTGGGCCGTGCTTGTAATCACTATGCTACAGACCCGGGCTGAAGGATTTATATGTTCTGGATCTCTGGGGCTTGAAGCGGGGATTTCCCCCTCCCCCGCCCCGGGAATAACTTCGCCATCCCAGCGAGCGAAGAGGAATGAGGAAAGGCGGTCGTGGCACCTGTTTCTGGCCCCAGCAAGGGGCGGAGAGAATGGGGCGCCTGGGGGCCTGGCCGCCCGACGGCTCCAGGCGGGGGGCGCAGGACGACCCGCCTCCTTGGAGAAGGCCCCGACGGCGGGAGCGAGGCCTGGGGAAAAGAGGCCCGGAGCGCGGCGCCGCCGAGGCCTAGGCCCCACCCGCC